TTTGGGAAATCTTCCTAAAGATTATTAAAGGAAGCAAGTCTGCAATTTCTTAGAAGAAGTATGAATTAATTGCATTTAGAAGGAGTGTCAGGATGGCCTGTACTATTTCTCTTTGATAAGTACAGTTCACCATCAAAGCTGTCACGTTTCTGCTATGTGCTGCTGATCAGCAATTTTTAAGACATTTGGCACAGAATTACCACGCTTTTTTTTAGTGGAAATTGTTTCCTGATGCAAGCTGCAAATTTTTACATACACAGAAGACTCTGTTCTTTCTTTATGTATGTAAGTATGTATCTTAGAACAGTACAAACCTTGTACAATATGCATATATATTTGTGGTGTTAGGTGTGATCCTTTAATAGTAGTGATGCTGAAGCAGAATAGTATGCAGGTGTTCAAGCATTAACCTTCATTCAGAAAAATACTTCTCATTTGGTGACTTGTCTCCAACAATGACCAGCATCAGATACTTTAGAGATTGGTACAAGAACTGTCACAATAGGCAGTTATGGGATAACTAGCCAATTGCCAGTCAAGAATGATTCATAGATTCTAGAGTTGGAAGAGACCACAAAGGATCATCGTGTCTGACTCCCTGCCCCTGGAAGGAAAGAGGACCGAGGTCAGATGACCCCAGCCAAGTGTCTATCAAGCCTCCTCCTGAAGACCTCCAAGTTAGGTGACAGTACCACCTCTCTTGGAAGCCCATTCCAGATTCTGGCCACCCTTACTGTAAAAAATTTCTTCCTAACTTCTAACCTGAATCTACTCTCCACTAGTTTGCACCCATTATTCCTAGTTACTCCTAGGAGTGCTCTGGTAAATAGCACATCTCCAATTCCCTGCTGTCCTCCCTTGATAAACTTATAGGTGGCTACAAGGTCTCCCCTCAGATGTCTCTTGTGAAGGCTGAAGAGATCCAGATCCCTCAACCTCCCCTCGCAGGGTCTTTCATGGAGGCCACTAATCATGCAAGTGGCCTGCCTCTGAACCCTGTCCAGATTCTCCATGTCCCTCTTGAAGTGCAGCACCCAAAACTGGACACAGTACTCCAACTGCAGCCTGACCAATGCTGCATAGAGGGGGAGCATCACCTCCCTCGATCGAGGGTGGGGGAGCGACAGGCAGGGATGGAGCGCCGCCACCCACCACCCCATGCCACCGCTGCCTCCCAGGAGTGTGGGGGTGGGAGGGGAACTTGCCCTGCCATCCCCTCCACCCCTCTCCACCAGCACACTCCGGCTCCAGCCCTGCTGTATCCCCCCACATCTGCCTAGCCTCAGGCAGGGACATGTGGGGAAGCCACACTGCTCGGGCAGCTGGGGCGTGTTCACCACCACCACAAACTTCCCCAGAAGCCCAGGCTGAGAAGCTAATTGCTGCCCCCCCTCTCGGTGGTGCATGTACAGTTGCCCAAAAGCATTCCAGACAGACACACACACAGACAGACAGACTAAGTCTTTTATTATATTAGATTATTTTGGATTCTCTGTAATTCTCCTCATGATCCCTTTATTGAATTCTGCGATTCTTTTCACCTTCCTTTGCAGCATTGGATGCTGACCATCATGAAAGCTGTAGGTTTTGACTAGGGTGCATTGACAATTCTGCTGGTGTTTGAAAACCATTCAAGTACCTGCCTGAAGGGTCTTGCTCTTCTACTGAAGTCATACCAACTGTGAGATTGGGGTCAGAAAATATTTTTTCCCCTGGCCAGATTGATAAAGACTGTGGATTTTTTCCCCTTCCTGTTTGGCATAGGACATAGTTCTCTGAGCATAGATCAACCAATTCCTTTTCTGTCACTACATTGGCAGGGCATTGACTGTGGCCCTGCTTCCCCTGCATTTTACCTGTGGCAGATTGTTAGGTATTTTCATTTAGTTTTTATAATGTGCTTTGTGGGTGTAATGTGAGGGACTGGAGAGGATTATTTTCAGGACTCTTTGGATAAATGGTTGCCTAAGAATGCAAGCAATTGGACTTTGACCTGAGAGGCTCCTTTGAGTCCTACGTCCATATGAGACTAAAATGAAATGCAAACTAGTACTTTCTAAGATCTCTTTAATACTCCTGTAAAACAGGAAACATTTCTGTTCAAACAGCTACAAAGTCGATGCACAAATAAAACTGAAGCAACACAAATTGCCAAAAGGATTGCCTTTCCAAACACAGTATAGCTGTTCCCAGCAACCAATAAAACACCTTTTAAGTACAAAAATTATTCTGTTGAAGATCTGGCTTGAATCAGCCAAGTACAAAAAGTGAATCATGCATTAGAGTGTGCAATGGTATCTCAGTAATGTACCACGGTATATCAAACCACAGTGAAAGGCCAAATACTAAATGGAAATAAACTTCTGACTGTACTTTTCACTAATGATGCCTAACAGAATTGTGCAAATAATACTCTGGATGCAATGTGTAGACAGTAAAACAAATGAGTAATATATGGAGGCTAATGCTTTCCAGAAGGCTCAAAATCAGTTGAAGACAAAATGGTAGACACTCTTCTTATGTATACCAGTGTGAATCCAAACATACCAATAATGGATTCTGGACTGAGGCAAGAGGGGTGTGATGCTGCTCACTTTGTGCCACACAAACACTAAGCTCTCTGGGCTCACTGCCTGGCCAGCATGGATTTCAGCTGGAGCTCTGTGTGAGCAGTGAGCTCTGAGCTCACCAGCTGATCAGGGTGGGCTCTGGCTTTAGCTCCTGCTTTTACATAGCACTGGAGCCCAGGGGGTGAATGCAACTACTATTTGCCCTTCTGCTCTCTCACTTTGCCCACCATAGGTGACTCATAGTGGGAGTATGGGGGGCACATACCGCCCCCCCGCCCCCAAGATTAGTCACCGCTGCTGGCTTCTGCGGGCGGTTGCCACTCGCCACCTGCCCCTCCTTCACTGCTGCCACCAGCATCTGCAGGTGATCCCCATTCACTGCCACTGCTAGCATCTGCGGGAGGTTGCCGCTCGCCACCCCACCCCCCAGCGCCAACACCGCCGCCAGCATTTGTGGGCAGTCTCTGTTCGCTGCCTATGCTGCCACCTACAAATGGTGCCCCCCACCCAGTTTCGGGAGGCATCAGTCATTCATGTTCCCCACTCAATTCAGCAGCAAGGGAAAAGGAAGAGATGAATGGCAGCAGCCCCCTCACTTCCTGGACTCCAGAGCTATGTGAAAGCAGGAGCTCTGGCCAGATCCCACACTGAGAGCTCATGTGCAGCACTGCCAAAGTGACGTGTGAGTGTACTGCTGCAACCCTTCTAGATCCAACTCTGAGACATACTCCACTGAGTTAATCTAGATTTCTGCCAATGGCATTTAAATCAGAAGCTGGTTTGCACTGTAAATGCTACTCACTATTATTGCCAGATTACCTCAGGATCACTGATGGCAAAAAGCAGGAACTGTCCATTATAAAATAACAGGTATTCTAAGTTTAATGATTAACTTTTTGAAAATCGGCTTTTAAATTATATTTAATGTCATAGTCCTTCTGTTCCATAAATCTATTGTTCTGATTCATAATAATATTAAAACAATGGTATTATCATGCAGTTTATGGAGTGTTTTTGTAGGCAATTGCTTCTTAATATTATCCCTGTTTGGAGGTAAGGGAGCTGTTTTAATATACACATTGTAATTAAATATATTTTACAACCACAAAGCCTAGTTTTACAATAATGTAATCTTCCTTTAGGTATATAATTATTCTACCTCCATAAATATGATCTTCAACATAAGATATAAATGCATTGATAGACATAGTTAACAATTCAAAAACATAAATGAATGAAATCCTCACAATCCCCCTGCCTGTGTGGTACATAAGAAATCTCGAGTTTTCCAGTTTAACTATAATGCAAGTCTTGTTGACTAGAATGGAGAGGAAAAACAGCAGAAATCTGCTAATGGTGGAATTTGCACAATGTAAATTGGCTCTTGCAAAAAAAATTCTATAACAGCATTATTAGCTATCACTTAAAGGCCTATTCAACCCCCGCAAAATCAAAGGGATTTTGCATTGACTTTAGTGGAAGTTGGATTAGGGCCTAAGTAAGGGATTATTAGGTAAAAAAAAACAACAACCCTACAATGGAAAAGGTCACAGGTATATGTACAAATACATTCATCTTGGTTAGTATCACTTTCTCTTTTACATGGGTGCACATTGAGAAAGTTAAGTATATCTACATATGTTTATCTTGCTTGGACAAAACTTTGCTCCTTTCCAATTCCCTAGCATCATTTGCCTGCTTTGAAGGCACCTCACTAAAGCTTCAGGACCACATCCTGCCATCAATGTTGTGATTTCTATTGATGACAGTGTGAACTCCAAACCTGGTACAATGCCAGGAAATGGGATAAATCAGGGATTGGCAATTTTCAGACTGCAGGCTGGAAGAGTTTGGATCTAGCTTACTGCACCTGGGAGGAAGTGGGGAAATCAGTGGCACACAGTGGTGTGAGCCACAGAGCAGGTGTCCCCAACTTCCTTCTGCCTGCTGTGTGCCATTTGTCCCAGTGCTTTCCTATGCTGAGCTCCACCTCTTGCCTGCATAGTCCTGGTTGATGCCTGGTCCTACCTGCTCTCTCCCCTCCCCACTGAATTTGTCCCTCAGCATGGCCATTGGCCACAGAAATCTGTGGCAGAGTAAGTGAAGACTGTGGTGGGATACGAGAGAGAATGGTGAGCTAGGGAAACAGCAGGGGATCAGTGGCCCAGAGCGGAGGCCAGATTGTAAGCTATGACCCACAGGTCATAAAAGTTGCAGACCCCTGGTCTAAGTTATTCATATTACCAGAAGCAAACATACTGACTCCAAACACTTCGGAGCATTGCTAGGAATAGAGAATATAGATACAAAATAAAGGAGCAAGTGTATAGAGTGACATTTAAGGGAGAGTTTCTTCCACTTGCTACATGCATGGTACAGGAGCATTTTAACTGCCTTTTTTACAATAAAAGTTAGTTGATCATAGTCGTAGTCCTTCATAAGGTGTGTCATCTCTTTGCCACTAGTCAACATTGTTGTTCTAGCCACCAATATGCTGCAAAGCAGAGCATCCGAATTACTGTCTGTGATAACCCGATAGTGGCATCGTGATGCTGAGAATTTTTCAATATATAGAGCCAAAATCTATGTGACATTTAGCTCACATTATGCTGATTTAGAAATGCTTCAAATATCATAATCTAATAGTGTAGAAAGTAAGACGGTGTATAATATATTCAGTACAGCGCCTCTCTGTGCTGGCTTAACAGCCTTTTAGAATGAAGTAATGCAGGGACTCCAAGATGAACAGCTATGGCAGGGGTACTTATTGCAGTTGATGGGAATCCATGGCTTGAATGTTCTGCAGGACTTTGAGCACAACTTCATAACAGAATAGATACTGATCCTGGACATGTGGAGAAACCAGCACAGAGTCACTCTGTCAGCTTCGGTACATGTATGCAAAGGGTGCAGAGCTGCCTGAAGCTCCTGCTTTGGACACACCTTCATAAGATGAATTATCATCTAGGGCTGCATGAAATTTGGGGTGTTCAAGATCTTTTGTTTCCCCTCCCCCATTAACTCACTGGTTTTGTTCTCCTCTCTGCATTTATTCTTTTTTTTTCCCCTCCTTTCCCCATTCACTCTGCCCTTCCTTTTTTTCCCATTCATTCATAAAGTCTTGGCTCAGGAAGGCCTTCCTATTTAGAACTTAAGTACATGCACATGAAGTTTTCAAATGCACATTGAGTATACTCAAGACCATTGAAGTCAATGCAAATTAAGTGCTTCCTCCATTATAGGCACACTAGCAAACTGCCCATCAAGAATGACAGGGAGGGGCGAAAGGGGTGGGTCCGGGCCCACTCCTCTCTCTCCCTCCTCACCCCCCCCCCCCCCCGCTGCATTGGGCCCGGGGCCGCTCCCCACACACTACTGCTTGGGGTCCGGGCCCACTCCACCCGCAGCTGCCTCCAAGGAGCAGGGCGGGAAGGGGCAAGGCCAACAGTGCTGGCTTCGCTTCCCCGCCACCCCTCCGGTCCCTGCTGTCATGATTCATCATGGCTCCACCACTGCCTTCTGTCCAGAACGTTCTTAGAGCACTTTGATTGGTTGTTTAAGACAACCAATAAGAGTGCAAATAAAGCATTACGGACAGATGGACTAAGGCTTTTATAATATTAGAATGCTTAAAGCATTGTCCATAAGATAGATGTATCTAAGTACATGTTTAAATATTATACTGCAGTAGATCTATATGCTTTCCTCCATTTACTCTCTCAATTTTCTCATCCCTCCATCCCTGTGATGCTATCCTCATCAAATTCAGCTCATTTATCTCTTAATAGTCATATATGAAAACTTGTCAGGGGCAGAGATAGCTTAGTAGTAGCTAACAGGGCACTCATCTGCCCTTCCATCCCAAGGATTCATTTCAAAGCTGCACTTTTTGGGGGCAAGACTTATGAAACCCAACTATTCTAGTCTATTAGTTACTCCTTTTTAAAATAAGGAGTAACTAGTAGAGATTGGTACAAAATTGGCCCTAAATCCTGGAAATACTTTCTATCCTAGCATGAAAATCAAGAGTCAGTAGTGACTGCAGCATATTACACAACACTAAAGATCACTTTCCTATGCTTTTATTTCCATTCCCTAATAAGGACAAAATTCTACTAGAATTACATTGAGCAATACCTCACATCTAGGGAAGACACTCGTGTAGTAAGGTGCTACTCAGTAGGAATAAAGGTGGTAGGCATAGGTACATGCTTACTCTCATTGAATTCAATGGCATTTCACCTTTGAATTCAGAAAGGCCTTCCTGAAGCAGGGCCTTTGATGAAGAGCTAATCTGATTTCCTTATGGAGACCTTACCTTTGTTTGAATCATGCCAAAGCGCTGATGTCGCAGCTCTCTCACTATCTGTTTGATGTTGAACTGTCAGAAAAGAACAAAGTTATCAACAAAGAGAAAACAAAATCTAGTGGGAAATCTTTGAGTTTTTACTTTCATAAATATTTTACTCTTAATTGTTATCCCTAAAGGCCAAAATCAACATCAGAAATCAAGTTTCTTTTGAAAATGGACTTATTTGAATCAAATTGCACAAGGAGTGAATTTGATCCAAGCTCTCCTACAATAAAATAGTCAGCCATCATATTTATAACCAGCTGTTTTAGATATACTTACACACAGATCTTTCTCTATGTAGCTCAGCAAAATATCTACACATAGTAGAACCCCACTTCTTCCAATCCCAGCACTGCAGTGAGCAACTATAGGTCCTGTCTGATGAACTTTTTTCATGTAACAAATGAATTTTACCAGCTGTTCTGCTAGTTTAGGAGTGCCATGGTCTGGCCAGGTGGTAAACTGTAAATGTTTTATAAACCGTTTTTCTTCTGTCTGAAAAAGAAAGAACACAAATAGTATTTGCTTATGGAATTCTATAATTTACTCACATAAAGTCAACTAGACAACTAAATATAAGTAATTTAACTGAGCATCTAGCAATGGCCAGAAAAATATTTCACATTAAAAATGCTAAGTGAGAAAAAAATAGCTCTAGGCTATCCAGAAAATGTCCCATGTTACAAAGAGCTCAGGGGACACTCAAAACCTTTCTCAAACTGGACATTTATACAACTAGGAGGTCCAGGTGCGCAGAATTCAGGAGCTTTCAGGACTGAAGTCTTCCTAGCAAAGCACAGGTCACTGGAATCTCCAGAAGCATAAATGACCTTTAGATAGCTCAGAGAGTTAAATGGAAGTCAGGATTACACTGTAGTGATTCAGTATCTCTATAAACCTTCAAGTTAGGAAAGGGATGGGATTAACTCTTTTTTTACATGAACTTTGAAATGCTGATGCGTTGCAAAAAGCAACAGATACATTTTACATAGCAACCACCATGCCAGTGTTTGCCTTTCTTTGTACATCATGCTGAGGGACATCTGCAAAACTATGGTTATGAAGAGTTTTGTTTCACACGTGAAATCAGAATCAGTCTTTTAATGCCACCATCTTCTCATGATACCACAGACCATGGATCATTATGGCTTTCACAATGAAATAAGGAATAAAGCAAGAGAGATTCTATTTTCATATAATACATTGATCATGATACATTGATCACGATAGAGAGGGACTAGGACTACAGCCTAGGATTGAACATTTACACTATCTGAGAGATACTGTAGGATTTTAATATGTTTTGTGCTTTAAGATCCTTGGGTATAAGTATCATGCAAACACTGGACTAGATGGGAGCCTCTGGGTCAGAATCGAATCCAGGTCCCTGCTATCACATGAAGCCACATCACCAAACTGATTTCTCAGACCTATCATTCTCCATTTTAAAATACATTTGGTTGTTTTATTACCAAGGTTTGTATGGGCAGGCACTTCTAGAAACTTACTGCTCTAATAGTTAGAAACTGTCCCCTGATATACAGTTTTTGTTATGGTCGGTTTATATACATTTGTTCCCATGTTAATATGTCCTTTGCCTTAATATGTCTACTCCTGGTGTTCACTCCCTGCATATTTATAGATAACCACATATCATATCCCTTCTCAGCCATTGTATCAGTAGGCTAAAGAATCCAAACTCTTTTAGAGGTGTACTACTATTTATAACAGGGGCAGGCAAAGTACAGCCCACAGGGCCAGATCTGGACCGCAGTGGACTCCATTTCCCAGCAGCCCTGCCCGTGTAGCTGCAGCTGGTTTCCATGAAGCCCCCAGGAGTGGTGGAGCCATGATAGTAGGGGGCCAGGATTTCTTTAGAGACCCACCCAAGCAGTGCTCATGGCTGGGTGGGGAGCTGCTCTGGGGCGCAGGCCAGGATCATGCAGTGATGACAGCATGGGCCGGAGCTGGGGCACAGCTGCAATCCTCTGCCCACACACCCAGGGCAGGGGTGTGCAAGCTGTGGATTGCAGCTCTGCCCCAGCTCTGGACCGTACTGTCACTGCTATATAATCCCGGCCCCAGAGCAGCTCCCGGCCCATCCATGCACCCTGCCAGCGCTGCTTGGGCCAGTCTTCGTGGAAACCCTGTCACCTCACTGTCACAGCCCTGCTGCTCCTGGGGACTCCATGGAAACTGGCTGCAGCAATGCAGGCAGGGGCTGCTGGGAAATGGAGCCGGATCCCGCATTTTGCCCACCCCTGAGGGCAATACTGAGGGATATGCTTAATTAGCCCAAGCTACATAAATTCCTACTCTGCAACTTCATTATCTTACCACTGCCATAGTCCAAACACAGGACAGACAAGGAGTGAGCTAACTGATTCCTAGAAGATTTTGACGAAGCTTTCTGTTCTTAAAGCAGAGCCTTTCTAGAAATCAGTCTACTAACTACTTGTCTCTCCTGTGGGCAACAGAGACTATATTTAGGGGAGAGACAAGCTGCAAATCAGTTGTTGGCGGATTTCCTGTGTCTGAGGCCTGCAACCTGGGTGAGTTTTGAACACGCTCCAGGGCATGGTATGCTACGAAGAAGGTTGACCTCAGACTCTGATACACAGTACAGCTTCTGTGGGTGGGCTGGATTGCCAGTGGGGTGAGCTAAAGGCTTTTTAATTAAGTAGTCGATGGGCTTGGGTTAAATGGTGGACTTGGGGATGCCACTAAATAACAGTGTAGATATGCTCTTTACACCCTTATATTTTCCTCTTGCATGGTATGCTTTGCAGTCCCTTGATCTCTTGTCTGCATCTTTCTATCTGAATTCATCTTTTTTTGTACATGGATGACAAAACAGGTACACAATATCCTAGACGAGGTCTTGCTAGTGCCTTGTACAATTGCATTAATATTTTCAGTAGGGAAGTGTCAGGACCAATAATCCTAGGATGATGCCTCCTAACTCTGTATCAGCAAATTTTATCAGCACTCCCCCATCTTTTGTCTGAGAGTTATTAACAAGATCAGTCCCAAGACTAATCCTTGAGGAAATGCACTGGTGACATCCCTCCACCCTGATATGAGCTCTCTAAATAGAAAATATTTCCATTTCCCTTTGAGCCAGTGCCTTATTCACCTTATAGTTTGACTAATCTCCATCTCTGGCTGTTAAATTATTTTCCATGTAGCACCATATAAATGTTCTACTGAACTGTCATCCAGTAGGTGAGATTTGTTTTATAGTCTGGGGCAATCCACGTGTGTTAAATATATGTCACATTTAACCCCATTTTCTATTTACCTTCATGTCTTTAGGTATTATTTCCTTCTAAATTGTTTTCTTCTACATTTGTTCTAAAGCAGGGGTGTCAAACTCACCCCAGGCCCTGGACTAGATCCAGGTGGCAGGGGCCCCTCCTGAGCTGAATCCTTGGGGCTGAATTCGGGCAGCAGTGTGAGTCTGGGCTGGGCTGGGTGGTAGTGTGGGTCCAGGGCATGTAGCTACACAGAGCTGCATTTGTGCAGTGGAGAGCCAGAACCACATAGCATCATAGGACATTTTTACACATTTTTACAAACATCAAAAATGGAGTGCTGCAGCACCAGACGCTTTGAGAAGTGCCCGGTGCTGCAACACTTGCAGTTGTATAAGTGGCAAATTGCACGTCAGCATGAAGAAAATGGTGGTGGTGCGCTTTTGAACTAAAACACCTCAAACGTGCTTTAGTTCAAAACTGCACCACCACCATTTTCTCTGCACTGACGCGCATTTCGCCACTTATACAACTGCACGCTGCGCAGCGCAGTGAACATCAGCTCACGTGAAGCAGCAGATCTCCGGTGCGTCACCAAAAGAAAAGGTAGGTGTATAAATGCCCGTAGAATCGTATAGAATCATAAAAAGTTAGGGTTGACCTCAGGAGGTCATCTAGTCCAAACTCCTGCTTAAAGCAGGACCGTCCCCAACTAGATCATCCCAGCCAAAGGTTTGTCTAGCCAGGTTTTGAGAACCTCCAAGGATGGAGCTTCCACCACCTCTCTGGGTAACCTATTCCAGTGTTTTACTACCCTCCTAGTAAAACTAGTGAAAAAATTCTTTCTAACATCTAACCTAAGCTTCCCTTGCTGCAACTTGAGACCATTGCTCCTGGTTCTGCCACCTGCCACCACCGAGAACTGTCTAGCTCCATCCTCTTTCAAACCCCGCTTTAGGCAGTTGAAGGCTGCTATTAAGTCCCCTCTCAGTCTTCTCTTCTGTAGACTAAATAAGCTCAGTTCTCTCAGTCTTTACTCATAAGTCATACCCCCCAGCCCACTGACCATATTTTTACTCCCACATTCATGACTTTGTTAAAAATACTTGTTACAGGACCTGTTGTCTCATTTACAGTACTTTCAAAATTCTGGGATTTAAATCATTTCTTCTCTCGCACTTGAGTGCATTATCCATCCTGTATTTGTCTCCCTAAATCACTATGATCATCCTTGAAATCTGAGGCAAGGATTCATTTAGTTTTGAGTCATATCTAAATAAATTTCTACTCTATCCATGCTGTGGAGTGGCCCCAGTTCATTTATCCTTGTTCTCTTTTTATTTATGATAGAAGAATCTATGGCTATTTGTATTAATGTCTTTTACCAGGTCTAACTCAATCTGATATTTGACATTTCTCTCTTCATCCATACATTCCTCGACCTCTAAAACATGCCTGCCTTTACTGATCAGACCTGTTTCTTTTCCCATTCCTAGACAGCTAATGTGTTTTTTGAAGTGGTTATCCATTCAGTTAGCAGTGGAGCCCTTCCAACAAGTTTTTTCCTCCCTTTGTTTGACATAAAACCATAGACAGTTTTAGTAACTTAAAAAAATTCCAGGCACCTTCTCCACATTCAAGTCCCATAGCTTGTTTGTTCACTAGCCTTCAGTAACTAGTTCCCTTAAGTTATCAAAGTTTGTCCTTTTGAAATAAAAGACTTTAGCTACAGTTATATTCTTTTTTTATTCTGACATTTAATTTAAACAAAACCAATTGCTGATCATATGATCCAAGGTAATTTTTATATGACCAGCTCTTTTCTAATGTTCTTATTGCTTGTCAAAACCATGTATAAACTAATATTTCTTTTTGTTGGTTCAGTGATACTGGTGGGGGAAAAAACCACCTGTTGACTTGCATCCAAGAATATCTGGATCTTTGTTCTCCACTCAGAATCTGGGAAGTTAATTTCACATAATGAATTAATTTATGAGAGTTTTTCTTACTCTAATAGCATGACAGATTTCTGCCCATATTCAAATATGACACTGCAAGTTTACCTGCTAGATAGAATCTTTCTAATCATCATTTTCCAAAGACATTTTGACCCAAACAATTTCTGTTTTGTCCAAGCCATCCTGTATTCTTTCTTTACAGTGGTGGTTCTCAACTTCTTTAGATTCAAGGGACCATCTCGTTAGATTCAAGGCACCCCTCAGAAAATGGCAGCTCTTTGTTGCCACTTGTTTTTTGTGAACAGAAAAATAATAGTGCAATTCTTCTGTTGCAGAGAACTAAGGAAGACTACACAAGATCAGAATATTTTTAACATTATTAATTCCTTTTTTTTAAATCTCTGGCTTTATCTTGTAAATCGTATCCACACTCCTAAGGGTGCTAATTGCATGGCAAACCACATCATCCTTAAAAGGATCTCAAGGCACCCAGGGTGTTGTGGCACTGTATTTGAGAATCACTGCTTTACAGTCTATCACTTCATTGTCAAAAGATGCTACCTCACTACTTTTACCTACATTTCTGCTTTCTGAACAGTACGTATCCTTCAATACCAGTCCTGACTGCCATTCCATCATGGTTCTGCTATCCCTGTAATACATGGTTGCCTGCTCTGCACCAGTAGTTCAGGTTCCTCCGTTATGTCTCCCAGGATCCTCACATTAAAATGCAAACTGTAAAGGTTGAATAGGGTGAAGGCAGTCAAAGCTGATCACTCTAGGTCAGGTGTTTACCAGAGTGGAGGCCAAGTTCAAGAGCCAGGTATCAGTGCTAGTATTAGACAGCAAGCCAAGGATTGAGAAAAGGTGAGTTAATCCAAGCCAGGAGGTCCAAGAAAGATACAAGCAATCAGGAAGAGGCAAAAGAGTCAAAGCCAAAGGTTCACAGCACAGAGTCAGAATTAGGAGTTTCAAGCAGGCCAGAGGCACAACATAGTGGTCTGTTGCCAAGACATTGCTGCTGTCTAGGCAGAGCTTAAATAGGCCAAGGTGGGTAGGGCCCTCCTCCCCTCTTTCTGAGAGATGACTAGGCCCAATTGCCTGATAACTTCCAGCTGGGCCTAGGATTGGATGTGTCCCAAATGAGTTTCAGCTCATAACATCATCCCCTCCTCTTGGAACACCCTCTGGGTGACTGAAGCCAAACCCTTCCAAGTATGTGCAGTGGAAGGCTTAGACCAACTCAGGGTGTGCACATTCTTGGCTGGTTCCATGAACAGTCTGCTGGTCCCGGGGCAGATCCATGATTTTGCAAAAGGGAGTGCAAGAGCAACAACAAATACTGCAGAGGTGGCTGCATTCCCTGCACCCAGCCTCCTCCCCACAACTGGTGCAGGCAGACCACACCATGAACGCAGGAACTGGGGACTTGTAAGACGCAAAACATGTAAGAATCCATTCCCCTTCCCCTCTGTGAGGGATGCTCCAGGCCTGTTCCTGCCTGCTCAGACTAGGCTGCACAAAGGCCAGGCTCAGCTGGGGACAGCAGCAGCAGTGATGGGTGGGCACTTCTCCCTCCCCACTCTGACTCCCAAGAGGACAGGGCAGGGAGGGAGAACCTCCTCTGCCGCCACTGCCACTGTCCCCCAATGGCGCCCAGCCCCTGCCCTAGCTGGAGTGGTCAGGAATGGCTTTGCAGCTTCTCTTACCCCCAGGACAGCATGGAAAACAGCAGCAGCAAGCAGGAGAACGGGGGAAGGGGAAGAGAGGGAAGGCCTCTGAGCATAGAAGGGAAGGGAGAGGGATTCTTGTTTGTTTGGGGGACTTAAAGTCACTGGCTGTTGCTCCCAAAGTGTGGTTCAGTCTGAAATGGAGGTGCAGTCATGCCACTGCCTCTAGATCTGCCCTTGCCAATCAACAAGAAAGGAGTTTACCTCTTGCCTTTTTACTGTCAAGGACTTCCTTAATATACTCCCCTTGCCTTGGACTAAAACAGGTGGGGATAGAGTGGTGGAGTAGCCCAGGAATGGATTTTTTAGGTAGAGTTTCAGTAAAAAACATGGAAGACAAGATGGACTTTCATTGTTTCAAGCAGCATCAGCTGAAAAGTCACTGCTACTGATATGTGCCATGATCTAAAATGGGCCCGAGTACTGGTAGTCCAACTTGGAGGGGGAGCAATGGATTTAAAATGTTGTGTGAACAGCCATAAATTATCCCCTACCCTGAATGAGGGTGCTCAGAGCAGTGCTAGTCTGAAAGGCATTTGTAGATGATTTTGGAGGCCCTCCTGGATCTTTGGCACGTGGCATACTAACTCTGCTGTGGTGGGGGCAGTGCGATGATGAGCAGGATCAGGTGAAAGCAGGGATGGAATCCATAGAAAGGACCATGCTGTGGGGAATTACAATCTGAGTTCTTATAGGCAAACTCAGCCAATGGCAGGAGGAAGACGCAGTTATCTTGCTTAATCTGTCTGTTGAACCCTGGGTAATAGGTTGACAAGACATGTAGCTCCACCTTTAGAAGTCAGGAATGGGATATAAGTTGGAGCCGTTGGCTTACAGGCATCCCATGGAGCTGGAAGATGTTTTTTTAGAAATAGTGGGAACATCATGGCAGGGAATGAATAGTCCACCTTGGTTAATGAATCTCTGCCCCTGATAGTGAGGATGTTCCATTCAGGTCTAAAGTCCTGGTTGAGTTGAGGTCCTAAACTCAGCACAGTGGGTGCAACTCTCCAGAAGAGGGTTTTGGTTGAGGGAGGACAAAAAGGACTCC